GATTTTGGTATTACCCAATGTGGATTTCGCACCCTACCTTAGGACACTTAACTATCCTCGAGGTAAACCTAACACAGTGATACATGTCCCACACATGTATTCACGTGCTTGTTCCTATAACTTCTTCCTAATTAGTACATATTGATCTGCCGTTCCGTATTCGTATCTCACGCCACCTTTTGGGGTGCTGCCGTTCTATGGATGTTTCTCAAGCACCAACCTTCCTAATTAGGCGCCCATTACGTACTCCTTGCCCTTGTTTTGATTCCTAGCAACCCCAGTACCCCGCATTTAGACCGTCTTCTTACTCAGATTCTTTACCGGTCTTTCCCTTACTTCCAGCTAGCAACCCGGAAGGGTTGGTTTGCCCAGGCTTTAGGTGCCTGAAGGACGCCCTTCCCTTGGTCATACTTTCGGAGCGTATGTCCTTTTCCTCCAGTGCGACAACCCGGCAGTTCGGCTGGTGTGTTCTCTGCCATTAGGACCTGGTCGCTCGGTTCTCCGATTTCAGGCCCTGGTTCGAATTCAGCCCTCCTGTGGTACCATCGTAGATCACTACTACCTCCTTTAAAGCAGATTTCTTATTTCAGAATTATTATAATTTATTATATTGTTTAGATTTAGATCTACTAATTACATTAAAAGATACATTATTCTTTAATCCAAATTTACACTCTTTATCATAATTAATAATTGAAAGGTGGATCTATCAAAATGCTAGCTGTCCTAATAGCTTAGATGAATATATGCTATTAGTAAAAGAACCTTCTTATAATTCTATTATATCACTACAAAAATTTTCTTTAATAGATTTAATTTTGATTATGATTTTACAAGCCTAATAAACCTATCTAATCATATGGTTGGTATTTTCTTCATATCACTTTTGATGAATTTTTTAGAAACTATTTTCATAAAAATACCTAAAATAAGATTTTTTTAAAATTTTTACATTTACATATGAATTTTGGATTTACAGGTTTTGCAGATCTTAATTTTCTTTATTGGACATTATTTGGTTATAATTACTTAAAACTATTAGTATTAATTTTATATGATTCTGCTGCTAATAAGAAATATCTAATATATCTAATCTATAATAAATTTTTTAAAAATGTTAATATACCTGAGTATAGTATCTAACTATTTATTAAACCTTTAATGACAAAATTTATATAAATGATTAATATTGCTTGGCCTTTGCTAGCTGATTTTAATCTTAATAGACTATTAAAAATAGCTCAGATATCTATTAATACCAACTCTGGTACAATTATCATTTCTTTAAATCATTCAGATTCAATTACTAAAGTACTAGAAATACTTGCTAATAGTTTTATTCCTTTTATTATTGGCAAAACAGATTTAGAAAAATCTGTTGATTTTTGTCTTGGGCTATGAAAATCTATGCAATACCTTGATAGTTGTCTTTATTTATATATGCCACATAAATTCTTAGTAGATAGACATTATAGTATCTAGCCTAAAGTATATTCAGGCTCAAAAGATAAACTAGATACAAATAATGCTGCTAATATTGTCACAAATGGTTATATCATAGCAAAGAATCTGAAACTTGAACTTAATTATATAGTAGTATTAGATAAAATGATGGAGATGCTTTTATTCTTATAGACAAATGTCTAAACCAAGTAATTGTAATATTAAGCTACTTCAATAACTATACCAAAATCTAAAGTGGTACAATTAACTAAATCTTAAAATCCTTATACTATCACTGAATTACCCTCACTATTGTATTACTACTTAGAATCTAATATTTATTATTACATTATGAATTATCACCAGACTAAAGCCTTAGCTATCTATCTCTTTTATATGCAGCTTGTAAAGCTTTATGATACTCTTGTAAAAACTTTAAATAAGAAATGTCAAATTATATCTGGACAAAATAAAAAAATTGATGAATTAACTGAGATTATTTTTGGCACAAATGTTTGGAATGCAGGTTATACTTGGAAAGGTTGCTATTTAGTTATAAATACAGAATTGGATATAGGAAAAAAGATGATAAACATGTAACTTGTAATAGTAGCCATTCTATTGCAGAGCAAAGAAAAGGTTGAACTGGTTATACAAATAATAGTTTATATGTCAAATTACATCAAAAACTATATAGATAATTCTTTTGACACTTCTATTAGTTTTATATATTATTATTCTCATCTTTTTGAGACATTTTGAAATATAAAATTAAACTATAAATAATTAGAGATTGCTATAAATTCAAAAGTACCAAGTTGCTATAATTCTTTAATTGCAAGTAACTTTGATTATGCTGTTTATTTAGAATTATTGTATTCAAGTAATTAACAAGATACAGACCTTTTATATCAATGTTTATTAGCAAAATATTATAATGTCATTTGGACCAAACTGGACTTGAACAAAACTCAGACTCGAACTCAGACAACCAAGTATATCTACCAGACAAACTTAATTTTTAGCCAATAATATTTACTTGCATCAATCTATTGCCACAGTTTAAATTTTAAACCTGTGGCCTGGCTATAATTTGTTGGTATCAAAAGTCCAAATGACCCAAAGCTACAATATTGTAAGGCTTTTAGATAGCAAACAAAGGTTTAGAAATATAGATCAATCTAGCAAATTAAGGCTTAGAGATGTAGATCAATCCTGGTGATTAATTACTTCTATCATCTGATAAACATTAAATAGAGAGTAAGCATTGTAGTAAATATTTAGCACAACCATTGTGAGGAGTATTTGCAACAATAATTGTAAGCAATATCTAATGTGGGTTGTAAATATACTGAAGATTGATTGCTAAAAAGATAAGCCTGAGGTTAAAAATAGCACAGTAGCTCTTAGTAAAGTAAAAAGTATTTAAAGCCTGAGTTTCTATCTTAGTAAAGTTTTCTCAAACAAGGTCTCATTAGACTATTAGTCTCAAACAATTATGTCTTAATAACCTTCGATATTTTAATTATATAGTTTATATTAAGAATCAGATTCCTCATTCCCTTTGTATTTTGAATATGTATTAGTTATTAGTTAAGTTTATTATTTTTATTATTTTTTATTTCTTTATTATTGTTAACTTGCATTTCTTATTGTATATAATAAACCTTTCTTGGTAATTAAAGTTTGATTGTTATATTTAAATGTTTTGTAATATTATACCACATGTATAGTATTACAAATCCTGAACAAGAACTTAGTTAATTATCTAACTGATAGTAACACCATGAACACAGATAAGAAATGAAAGTGTGCTAATCTATTTATTTATTTTTATTTTAATGGCACTGCCTCTTTATTACTCATTATTGTAGATGCGTAATATAACACATTACTTTTACAACAGACATTTAGTACATCATTGGTAATCTCTAACTTATTAGTACCTGTTATGCTGCCATAATCGAATTCGTATCTCAAGCCACTATAACCCAGTCTGTATTACAAGCTATAACCTTTCTAATTAGTTATCAACAACCGCAGATGTCCCAGGTCCCTCCCCCTGCGGTGTTATAGTTCCTGAATTTCATAAACCTCTTTGAGTGAGATGTACCAAACCTTTTAGTTCAGTATAGTCATCATAACCCTTATTTACCTCACTATTGGCTATATCACAAAATTTTGCCTATGAAACCATCTCTCGTACTCTAACAAAAAAATTCCTCTCAAAATTTTGGGTTAGAACCTCTTTGCTAAAGCGCTCTATCCTAATACTAACCCTAACCTAACCCTACTCTTACCCTAACCCTAAATTAACGAATTAATTTTATTGTTTTGATTTCATGTTATACATGATTTTATAGGGTGCAATTTATAGGCAGACATTCGTATGATTGGCTGTTTAAATCAATTTAATTTTACATTATTTATACAGTTTAAAGTACTTTT